TTTTGCATTTTATGAGAAGATCGAAAATAGACAGACAGAACAGAAAGAGAACAAATAATATTGATTGGTTCAACCATATTTAAACGAAATACTTTCATCCTCCATTTATTTTCAAGACAATAAAAAAAAATATTTTATAGTTTTCATGAATATATATATCTATGTCACAATTTTTATAACGAAATCTAAAAGAAAAATCTAAACACACAACGCGAAAAGTTTCTTTTCTTCTTTTATTAATGCCAAGCAGCAAGTATTGTACCAGCAAGTGATAAACCAACCATTGGATAAGCAATATTAATTGCAGCAAGTAACCACGAAAAATTTGTTTTTGCAAATATATGATTTGGTAACATTGTTGTTAATGTAAAGCCAAGCCAACAAGTAAAACCAATTTTAAATCCTTCAAACCATGATCCGGATGCATGCATATATTCAATAAAATGTGCCATTATAATTACCATTACTAAATGACAAATTGAACTTAGAATATAACCTTTTTGAGCATTTTTTTGAATAATTGGATCTGTTTGCATTTTTTTAAAATCTAAACCCATTAATTTTACCCATGTTGTTCCAAAAAGTAATGGAGAATACCACATAGCTCCAAGAATCATATTTATTAATGTACAGGTAGCAACTGCATAATAATTAATAGTAACCATGTTTAATAGAATAATGAATTATCTATAAGAAAATAAATTTATCTGTCTTAATCTGATATTAACAGTCAAATAATGGATGAACAGAATGATGTATGGACGAAGATAGAAAACATAAGAAGAAAAATAGACTAGAAATAGTTTATACATTGTCTATGAATGTAGGTCAAAAATACAATAGGAAAGAAAGAAACTTATAGAAATGTCAATCGGTTTAATCGTAACAAATACGCATTTTTCATAGAATGAAAATGGAATATTTAAAAATTATTGTTGTCGAATTATTTCCTAATTATAAAAGAATGAATATCTCTTTCATAGCAAAACCAACAATTTCGTTATTCAGTCACACACACAAAATGTTTATCTATTTTTTTATTTACTTCACAGTATTCTAAGCGAGTGAAAAACTAGGGATTAGAATCAGAATTTTGTGCTCTTTCTCAATATAAGCTCAGAAATTGTGTACTTGTTTTTTGCTCGAGAATAGTGAGAAATCGATGTGAATGATGAATAAACAGGCATTTGAAATCGCCGTAAGTTCCTTTGTAAAGGTGTTTATAATCATTCTATTTGATAATCTTGTGAAGCGAGCAATTTTCTGTTCAAACTATCTTTATAGGCTTACAGGTACATTATTTCTGAATTCATACTGAGAAAGGGCACAAAATTCTGCTCCTCATAACCCTTAGTTTTTCACTTATTTTATCATTCGAAGATATGAACACGTCACATGATTTTCTTTTTGTAAACTAGCAATTAATTACATCAAAACAATCAAGTTATTGTGAACGTAAATTTCAAAAACAACAGTATATAGTTTTCGTCATTGACGCAAATATTAAGCTTTCAACAGTGCATGATTAGTTATAAATCATGATCGAAAGAGACGACTGATATTGATCTTTGTACTAAGTAATTATTGTATGCATTTAAGCAAGATACATCTATGTATACATAAGAATAATAACCGATGAATTAATAATTTCAAATAATGCATTTCTATAACAATAAGAAAAGAATCTATTATTTTTTTGAGTCTTCATGAAACGTTTGTAAATGCTTTTTGTATTTCATAAATTTTTAATCAATAAATTATTTTTAATGATGTATTAATAATATATTTCGATACTTTCAAGTCATCAAATACCAATAAAAAAGCTTTTTCTATTTATTCAAATATAAATTCTTTCTCAGAATTCCACGTCAAAGATGAGTGGTGCCATCTTAGAGAGAATAAAATCTGATTCGTTCTTATCTCATCTTATCAACAATAGAACATGCATTCTTTCGAACTATCGGGCTCGGCTGTATATATATATATGTAGTGTACTATGTGAGTGTGTGTGTACGTAAGTTCCGTTCCTTATTTTTTCACTCACCCTAAGCGAACATATCCGGTTGAACTATGCTAAAAATCAATCGATCATTTTTTATTATTTCCTTGTTTTAACAATATACGTAAAAAGAACAAATAATCTTTTGTTTATTAATAATTATTTTCAGAATATATATATATATATAGCTATGGATACAACTACTGCTAGTACAGTTAATTCAGGTTTTGTTGGTATTAAATTTTGTCAAGAATGGTTTGTAGAATTTCATAGTTATATATGTATATGTATATTAAATATTTTAGTAATAATATGTTATATCCAAAGGAAGATAAAGAAAATCGGATTTTACTCTATGCGGTAACTAATTCTTTTCTTTCATCGATCTCTAACATTCTATTCATTTAGTGTCGACGTTGTCAACATCAACAAGCAGCAGATAATCCTTGTATTTATGTCAATAAGATAACACACGAAATTGAGTAAGTACTTAGTTTTATATGAAATATATAGGACAAAATTCTAGACCTATTTCATTTGAAATATGTATTATTCCGTAGTCAATTATTCGATGATTATTATAAAATATAAAGTAATTTAAAGTCTAATTCATAAATAAGACTAACATGATCGTAGTAGTAGGCATAATAAAATCAAATTTCAAGTTTCTTTCTACGGAAATGAAAGATGACACTATCATCTGAAAGTAGAATTCTGCAATCGATTAAATATATTTTGAATGTATAATAATTAAGACTGATTTTTATATTTTAGTGAATTAACACAAATTGTTACTGATGTTATTTCGGATCCAACCTTACCACGTACTGCTGATCATCCTTGTGAGTTATCTAATCAATAAAATATTAAAAAAAATAAATAATAATTTGTTTAGGTCCAAAATGTCGAGTAGCTGATGCTGTTTTCTTCCAAGCTCAATCAGCTCGAAGTGAAGTTCGTAGAATTGAATATATATTTTTCTATATCATTTTCTAATTATTTTAAGGATCGTATGACTCTTTATTATGTATGTCGAAATCAACATTGTCTTCATCGATGGACAGAATAAAATTTATGTTCTTTATTATTAATATAATTGTTTTTTTTTCTCTCATTCATGTTGTGAAACTTAAATATCAAAATATAATTATATTTCAGATATGTAAAAACAAAACGACGAAAAATAATCCCCAAAACATTTATTCCTTATTTTCTTTTAACAATTTTTTCATTATGTCGGATGAAATTGAGAATGATACTATCATTATAAATGAAGAAAAATCTCTTAAGAATATTAGTCAACAGAAACGTCGTGTACATTTTCCAACTGATGAATCTCAATTACGTATGATATCAATTGCACCTGAACCATTAGCAAATCAACCATTATCATCGCTTGGTGTTATTATCCAACGTTATCGTGCTGCATGTCAACGTTTACAAATACGTCCATTAAATTGTTTATTGGAACAATTAAATACAATAGATGATAAACGAAAATCATTTTTCGATCGTCTTGATTGTTTAAAAGTTGTTAATGAAAGATTAGATTTAAAACATCTAGATGCTATTGAAGAAATTTTATCACGTTGTCGATTTTATCTATTAGATTTTGATTCATCATTTACAGATGATACAACATTGACACAATTTTTTGATATTATTGAATATTATGAATCGTGTACACATTTAAATCTATCAAATAATCGTTCAATTAATTTTCAAGGTTATCAAGCATTAACGCGATATTTAAGAAAAACACGTTATTTAGAAAGACTTGATATGAATTATATACGTTTTGACGATACAAGTATGTTAGGTTTTGGACGTTCAATACGTATGTCATCAACATTATATGAATTACATATGGAATCATGTCAATTAAGTGGAAAAATTTTGCAAAAATTTATACAAAATATACGTTCATGTTCTTGTTTACGTGAACTTTATCTTTGTGATAATCGTATGTATATGAAATTAAAATAGAAGACTGCTTTTTTATCCCCATTGATGAGATATTTCATAGGGTATCATTAATACTATTAAATGAAACATAGCTTCCTAAGATATACAACGAAAAAAACAATCATTCGACTTCACTAATTAATTTTCGATATTTTAGTTTTTATACAAAAGTTAAATGTTAACATAGAGCAATAAATTATCGTAATATAATGAAAGCAATTTTCTTCGTTTTGCATCATTTATAAAGACATGCTCTTAGATCAAGAATATTTACAAAGACATTTTTTTTCTTATAAGATAATGCCTACATGTCAAATAAAATTAGATTAACGCATGAATGATGAATTTGAGAATTGAAAGCGAGGGAGAATAATTGAACTATTCGTATGTATACTCAAATATTAATAGTCTAAACGATGAGACCGAAACAAAATCGTTTCTTTCCATCGAATGTTCAAATCAATTATGGAATGACTATGTTGTTTTTTAATACCATAGAGACTAAAGATTAAAAAATTCAGATATTCTGAAAGTCGAAAAAAATGATGTTAAATATATATTTTAAAATTTTCTGTTTTGGAACGTATTTATATTTGGGAAGATCGCTATTTATGTAACTTTGTTAGAACTCCATTATGTAGATGACATTGAAAGAGAATAAAAAGTCTATTAGTACTAAATTTGACACACACTCAAGGACAAAACAATTCCTAATTGAATAAAAAACGACAATTTATCAAAAAAAAAACCCTTTTAAATATTTGATTGGGTAATTTCACAGTCATTAGTACTAAAACTTTTATGTCTAATCTCTTTAAGATAGTTTTAAATAAAATGTTTGTCTTTTAATTAGGTCTTCAAGTGCAAGATTCCGTACTGATAAATGAATTGATACGATCATGCGGTCAATTTCTTCATTTACTTGATCTACGTTCTAATTCATTACAAGATAATGGTATGTCTCATATTGCTTCACAATTAAGTCAATATGATGAACATCATACACATCAAAATTCCATCTATAAAATAAGTTTTCAATCAAATCAATTAACACATCAAGGTATTGGTTTTCTAGCCAAAGCATTATTACATAATCGAACAATACGTTCATTAAATCTAAGTCATAATCAAATAACAAATGAAGGTTTATTTTTATTACGTGATGCATTATTAACAAATCGAACAATAAATGAATTAATTTTAAGAAATTGTCGTTTAACAGATCAAGCTGCTATTGCTTTAGCTGAATTTATTGCTGAATCATCTGTTATACAATCAATTGATTTAAGAGAAAATAATATTCAAGCTAGTGGTATATGTGGTATGGCAATCGCAATGAAAAATAATAAATCATTATTAAAACTTGAATTTGATCCAATTAATTCAACTTTAAATTCACAATTAAATAATAATATTGATCGAACAACAACTACACATACAAATAGTTTACTTTCATTATCAAATCTTCGAAAAATGACAGTTGGTTTTGGAGGTTTTGCAAGTAATTCATCGAATAATTCAAATGAAGGAAATATTAATAACACAAGGGAATTACTTGAACAAAAAGCCAAATGGATGAATGATATTGAATGTATTTGTCAAAGAAATTTACTTCTTTATGAAGATCAATTACGTCGACAAGAAGAAGAACTAAAAATCGATAATAATGGTAATACATAATTAATAACATTATTTTTTAATTAAGTTTTATTTTCATTTAGACAAAGCTATTGTAAATGGAAATGATCAAGAGGAACAATCAACTATTACAACGAATGGTATTATATTGGAAGAAAATTTGACAAATGTGATTCCATCAGAAAATGACTTACCTGTAGATTCAACAACAAAAACTGATGATTCAATAATTATTACTCAAAATAACAGTGAAGATACATCAGTATCAACGAATGAGAATCCACAGTAAATTATCTAGAGATTTTCTATCTTTTATAAATTACAAAAAAAATTTTTATTTAGACCTACAGATATTTCAATGAATGATGTTAATACAGCTGAACAATCAATAGTTACAAATCAGGATAACGAACAATCATTAGATAATTTAGTAAATAATAATGATAATCTCATTGAACAATCAATAGATACATCAACGAATGAGGATAAGAATCAAGATGAACAAATAACGGCAAATAATGACGAGTAAGTCAATTCTTTAATATTATCTCAATTTCTACTGCAATTTTCGTTAATCGAAATAAGTGATCCTATTCTAAGATAACAATGGGTGGATGCCTACTCTTTCTATGCACTCCTATGCTCACACCCTCGATAGATTATAATTAAAAAAATTTTATATATTTTTAGAATTTTATCAAATGGTGATAATCAAGAAGAATTACAAACAAGTATTATAGAGCCAACATTATCCAATTCACCTTCACTTTCAGATTTAACAGAAGATAATTTTACCAATGATAATGATCAAAAATTACAAATTCATCATTCAGATAGTCTTTATTTATTACGAAAAAAAGCTAACAATGAAGATAATAATACAAGTGATGATGAATCTCAAATATCATCAATTATCGAAACGCAACAACCCATTACAGATGGTGTATAAACACAATCGTATTGCAATGAATATCATTCTCTTTAATGTTGTTGTTGTTGTTGTTCTTTCGTTCTATTATTATTATGTGAATGGTGCAATGAAAATCTAAGCAAATTTGTGGAATTTTCACGTTGGTGCTGATGAATAAAATACATTCCACAAAAATTCTCTGTCTGCGCCGGTGGAGAAAAATTATTGAAAATGGAATTAAAAAAAAACAGTAGCGTTTTGTGCATTCATTCTTAATTTATCGGTTTGTTTTTCTTTTGCAACAATTTTGTCCATATACATATACATATATTTTCTTGAGAGAGTATCATTGTGGTGCTCGGCATTACTTTTTCTCTTGAATTTTTGTGATTACGACTATTTTCTCGTTTTTTTTTTCGGTCTCTCTTTCTTATACATATATATAAAATTAACTATCTGTCTTATTTAAAGAAAATCTCTTTTGTTTTAATCATATTTCGCTATGCTTAGTTACGCAAAAAACGTCTATATCAATATAAAGATCTTGAATACATAAGTGTGTTTTGTTCTATATTTTTGCTGTCTTATTTCATTATTAAGATTCTTATCTCTTTTTTCTTCTTCTTCTGGTATATAATGATAAATTTGGCGTTTCTTTTTCTCTGTTGTTTAGACGACATTATGAATAAATGATAAATATAATCTATCTATCTAATGAATACAATTCATATTAAAATTATCATAACAATACTCGAAAATTAGATAAGAAAATTATCGGAATTTATTCAAATAATTGAATTGATTTGTCAGTTGGATATAATATAACAGCGTAATTCAAAAGAATATGATGACAAGAAATTTTTACTGATAATCAAGATTTATTTTTATCCAAATAAGATTATTAAAGTCTTATGATTGTCTTTAGCAAAGAAATTCGACCTAGACAAAAGATAAATATATAGAGATCTTTAAATAGTATTTCATATTAATAACACAGAATGACAACAACAGACTATGTCAGTGATATATTACTAAAGTATATTAGAGCAAACTTTTTGGAATTATTTGATTCAAAAGTCACTAATTTCGATATGTTTGACATTTAAATCATGAACTGTGATTTTTATTATAAAGCTTATATGACATGCCTGGCAAACAAAACTCGGGTACTGATAACCTTGCACATTATATTAGTATTTTGATTTAATTAGTTTCAGAAATGTCTCCTATGTTGTTGTTGTTGTTGTCATTCTCTGTTATTAAAATAAAATACTATTTAAAGATTCTTCTATATGTGTTTTTTACTAAGGTCAATCATAAGACTTTAATACGGTAATTATTAATCGTATTGGGATGAAAATAGAACTTTAAATAAGTCTTCATTACTAGTAAAATTCCAGTTTACTTGATTGCCAACCAACCGAGATATTTAAATTTCTTCTTATTCCCATGCTATTTATGGATCATTCTGTATACTAATTAAAGACAGAAGTAGATCATAAGCAAAAACAAAAAGTCGTTGATACTATTCTTAATCGATTTACCTGGATAACAGAATTTATGATCAGATTTCAACGATTGAAGTTCTTACTTTTACTAATGAATATGTCATTTCAAATTAATTATACGAAAGATTATAGTCTATCAACTAAAATCGTGAAAGAATTTATGACTTTAAAATACATGACATGTTGATACAAGATTTCATTTTTAGTATTTTACACTTGATTAAACAGTGTGTATTATAAATAGGTATTACTATATTAATAAACGATTTTAAGCATCAAAAACATTATTAAAAGAAATAACATTACGAAGATTGATTCAATAGCTACGCAAACAAAACACTCATAGACTACAAAGTCTATATTTACTTTGTTCTTATTCAATACAAAAAAACATTTTTTTTTAATTTTAACAGTTATTTTCAAAATCTTAACAATTCTTGTTATTCAAAGAATTCTATTTATATAATTCTAATGAATTTCATTGATGTGTAAATATCTTTCTTTAGAATCATATAATATATTTTTGTCTTGTCATAACTAAAGACAAAAGTACAAGTCACCTTATTATTTAATTAGTTCTATTCGATCAAATAATAATGTAAATGTTTTTATCTAAAAATAAGGTCATATATTTGCATTATATAATTTTTGATCTAATCAATTTTGACATATATGAATAAATAATTTTATTCCATTTTGATTACTGAAAAAAATATATTTTTTTGCTTCTTATAGCTTGTTTTTGTAGAAGATGCAATAAGAAACCATTAGACAAATATCAATAAACAAGTTCTTATCTTTGTTTTTATATTTTGTTTTTTTCGAAGTATTTCGAAAACATCAAGATCTATTTTTGACATGAATAATAATCGTCAAATAACTATATTATATCTTCGTCATTTTCTTCTTTCTCTTCTCTTGTTTCAAGGACACAAAAACACGTCTATCTGTTGTTAGAATAATAACGGCAATAACAACATAATATATTTTTTTTTCTTCATTTGACACACAAAAAAAAAGAACGTTACATGTCAAGGTTCACAAGGACAAAATATGCGTTTATCTCGTCGTCAGACTATGCGGACAAAAAAACAATGCATTTTTTATTCTGTTTCTTTTCTTTTTTTGTTCACATACATCAATTATTTGTTTGCGTTACATATACACAGAATGAATTATTATCCAGACTAAAAAAGTTTCACAAACTGTTCTACACAACACACAAACATACATACAAATAGATACAATTACGTTCTTTTTTTTTCAAACAAATACAATGACGACTGTTTATTTGCTTTTTAGCGATACTTTAAAAGCATCGAATGATTATGATTAAAGTCAGAAAACCGTCTGACGGTTCATTGCTGGACTCGAGAAAAAAAGAAAAAGAAATATACATTATTTTAAATAAAACAATAAAACAGTTGAAGAAGTTTTAGGTATCCATTGATGTTGTTGATTCTAAAAATCTTTGAAGGTGAATATGAATTGGTACACTCTGATGCATTGAACCAGCACAAAATAATTTTTCAAAAATATCTTCTTTAACTTGATATATATTGCATAAAAAGAAGACTATTTTAGAATATTTAACACGTGTTGAACACCATGTTGTTAATCGAGCTTGTGCGTGACATTCGGCTTTTTCAAATAAATTTCCAGTTAAATTATTAAATAATGTTTTACCTTCTTTATAAATAATGACTTCCCGTATAAGATTAAAACCGATTTCATCGATTTCTAATGTTTTACCACGGGTAATTAATAATTCAATTTGTTTAACATCATTTTCAGTTGGATAGGTTACACTTGTTGATGATGATAATGATGAAGATAATAAAATATCATTTGTTATTTGTAAATCTTTTGTAACATAGATTTCAAAACTATTTTCAATCATACTTGTTAATAATAAACGATGCCATATACGTGATAGAAGTAAATATCTATCTTTATTATTATCAAGTGTATCTTGTATAACAGAAAGTGATAAAGAAAAATTAACATTACGTTCAAGCCAATCATTAATACGTGCACCAATAACAGGCATTAATTTTTTTGGTATACATATATAATCATTAATTGGTTCTTTTGGTGGACTTAAACATGGTGGTGAAATTGGTGGTGATGTTGATGATGATGAGGATGAATAACGAAAATTTGATGGAGTAGGACCTGAGAAGAAAAATTAAAAAGATTTAATTTGATTAAATTATATATTAATGTATCATACTATTATCATTTGTTCGATGTGTACCATTATGTTTACGTAGATCAATTGGTACTGGTTTAAGTAGCTTTTGTTGTTGTTGTCCTAATAGACGACTACTTTCAAGTAATGTTTGATATGTTTCTCGACGATATGGTTGATCATTAATCGATGGTGTTGACTGCATATGATTATTATTATTATCACTTTCTGGCACTGGTTGTTGCTGCTGTTGTTGATATTTTCGACGTTCACGAAATTTTTCTGTATTGGATGATTTATTACCATTCATATTTGAATTAGCTGAAGCAGCGGCAGCTACAGCAGCAGCAGCAGCCATCATTGATTGTGGTAATGGTAAATAACCTGATGCTGCTGCTGCATGTAAAAATGCTGCAGGATAATTAGCACGAAATTGTTGTGTTAAAGTATGCATAAGTGCATATTGAGCATAGCCAAAAGCTAATGCTTCTTGTTGACTATATGGAATGTTATTATTTGTTGTCGATGTTGGCATTGCAAAACCAGATGAAACAGTTGCTTCACTTGAGAATTTTTTATCTTTATTTAATTCATCATAAAAATGAGCAAGTGATTTACGTTTTCGACTACTCGTTGGTATTTGTGGTTGATGATTTGGTTCAATTTGATTTGTGCGAAATACCTAGAAATATTATTATTATTATAGATATGTATTTTTCATAATTAAAAAACAATGAATTTTTCTTTTTGCTCTTTATAAATAAATACTTACATGTACAATATTATTATCTGACAATGGACTGGACGATGAAACACCTGAATCAGATGCACATGATTTTACGGAAGCTGAACGAACAATTTTTGGTGCTGTATCATCTGGTGATGGAGATGTTGATGAAATTATTGTATTTGTTGTTGTTGTTGCTACAAATGAAGGACATGATGAAGCTGTAGCTAACAGATATGATGTTGGAGATGGAAATGATTGTGTGACTGGAGTTGTTTCTCTTGGTGAAACAGTAGATGTAGGAGACGATGAACGTTTAGTAAGAACAGCCATTGGATAAGATCGACAACGTGGTGGTGAGGAATTTGTTGAAATATCAACATTATTATATGATGAATGAGGTTGATTGTGATGAAACATATGAGTGGCAGGTGAAACAGGCAATGATGTCGAACATTTCATGTCAACAAGAGTATCTGTTGTATTTGTACTTGTCGGAGAGTTTAAAGTAACAACATTCATCGAGGTACTGGTTGGTGAAACAGTAGGTGGTGATTGTAGTGTGCCATTTAATAAAGCTGGTAGGATATTTGTCAGAGTACTTGTCGCTGTTCGATGAGATGACGGTGATGAGTAATTACCTTTTCGTAAAAGTGACGAAATACTCAATGATGACGAACCAGATGAAGATGTTGCAGAAGAATTCGATGATTGCAACATTTGTGTGAGAAAGGCATTCTCTGTAGATGAATTCATATCATCTTTTTCTATAATGAAAAAAAAAATTTATGTTTTTCATTGTGAAAAATAAAAAAAGTTTAATTGACTCACCATTTGTGTGATGATTCAATTGAAGTTGTTTACGTTTTTCACGAACACTTTTACAAAAAGCAATTCGATCCAATGTATTGATTGAATGTGGTGATACAACGGTAGCAGGAATCATCGATGACATATGTGGACTTGTTCAATAATCCACGTTTGAAAATATGACCTTATCGGTCTAGAATCATAAAGAAAGAAAAGAATAGAGATTATGTTATGTAATCGATTATGAACGGCTAAATTATTGTTGTCTCTTGTCCCTCCCCGTTCATCCGATCTGTATACATAGAGTAACGACGATCGTATTGTCCAATTTTCTTCTTTTCTTTGTTTTTTATTTGTGATGCTTTAATTCCTGTCTAGCCATTGTCGGTACGTAATAATGAATGTGAACATTCAAATTATTACAATGAGAACAAAACAAAATACCGAGCGGAAGAAGTGGATGAGATATTAGATGTAATTTAATACAATTACTAGAGAACTTTTTATAAATAAACTATCTATTAATATAGTCTTACTCGATGATTTTGTTCGATACTTTCTGAATGATTAAAAATCTCGTCCACAAAACTAGACCATAGCATCCTCAAAAACGGACACTCATAGTTATATTTATAATTATTATTAAAAAAAGAAAAAAAGAAGAAGAGAGATAGACAGAGAGAGTGCATGCACTCAAATATTTTTTTTTCTTATGTAGACAGACGCGAACTCAGAGCAGCAACAACAACAACAACAATCATCATCATTAAATAGGAACCTTTTCTCCACCCTATCTTGTTTTTCTACTTATTTCGAATCAGCCTCTTCTCTCTTTCTTTATTTTTTCTCCTCCATTTTTTTTCTCTTGTTTTCAAGGACGTATGCAAGCGTACATTGTTGTCTAGGGAAGGAGAATGAGAGACGGCCTTGAACTATATGTCAAAAGGCTGCCCGCGTGCTTGCAATAGCGCGCCAAACACTAATCCTGACGATGATGATGTTGTTGTTGTTTTTATGTGTCAACACACATGCACGCGTTAGTGCAAAGCAGTCGACTTCGAGAAAGCAATATAAATGCCCATTCATATTCATGTTTTATTCTTATTTTGTCTGCTAACAAAAAGAAAGAAAAGGCAAAAATCTCTCGTATTTCATTTATTCATCGACAACAGAAAGAAAGAGAATGAAAGAATTGTTTTTTAAAAATAAGGTGAGACTCAGCTGCTTCTAATCTGATTCTTTACCCTTGCATAATTAGTGCCATGACGGCAATGTTTTGATGTTTTCGTCTTGTTCGGGTCGATTCTCGCTAGTACACAGTTTTTCTTTTCTTTTCTTTTCTTCTCTCGTTCTCGTTCTCGTCTTGTCTTATTTTAAGCAAGAAAAACATACACAGCAAAATATTAGTTATTTTTCTTGCACAGGAAAATAACAGACATAGTCTATAAATTATTTCTATTATAATAAACTAATATTAGTAAAAAATAAAAATAGAAAAAATCAATAAAATATTTTCGCAACTTAATATAGATCGATACAATATTAGCAAAGAATTTTATAAATTTAAGCTAATAATAACTTTAGATGTAAGAGTAAAAAGATATTCATACGTGTTCGATATCAAGGATCAGCAATGAATATATGTATATATGTGCATGTTCACTTGTTTTAAATTATTGAATTTTACCACTTCAATGTACGCATTTTACCGTTTCGTGCTATAATCAATCCAATATCATCGATTACGACAGGCGCAAGGCGAGGGACACGACACGCATCGAAGTGAAAGGGTAGAGAGAATAAAATTTGCTCATCTTCGCCTCACTCTCAATCATTCAATGTCATTTTATGTGCATTATCTGACTGAGTGCACGTTTCGGACCAGTATCTTACCTAATACATATACATATATATATATATAAATGTGTATATATATATATTTATACATATAAGTATACACGGTCAGTATATTCGTTCAAGGAAGACTCGTATAGAAGAAGGTAGAATGTAAGAGAAAGAACGAGGGGAATAGTATATTGCGCAACTATTCATCACGGTATGACAATGACGGCGGCGCATATATGACGTAAGTTACTACCATCATCACTACTAACAATGAACAAAAGAGTAAACTCGAGACTGACCTGTCGTTGGCGTCGACCTACAACAATCATAGCACCTGTACATATATATATACCACTCTCGAAAAAGAAATAATGGATGGAAAGCAAATATGATTTATATATATATATATATATGCGCAACGTATACATATATATATATATATACATGGTAGAAAAAGAAAAAGGACCAAGGTGAATGAACGATTCAAATAGAACTGACCCAGACAACAGCGCCAGACATATACACTCAACAGCAATCGATGTATTCAATAGAGCAGTAATTATGACTTGTACTATACTGTTCAATTGGTCGACTCGGGTAGCTAGCCAGTCGACACTCGTTTGTTCACTCTTCTACTTCTTCTTTCCTTTCGTCTCGTTTTTTTGCTGGAGGACAACTGGACTATTACAGCACACATACACAATGTCTAGCCTTTCTATTTATGGCCGAATAGACAAACGGAAAGTCAGACAGACACGCAAAGATAGAAAAATGTCTTTGCTTTTTGAATATATGTCTTGACATCGTGGTGTCTGTTTAATTTCTATATATATTTTCATTTCCATTAAAACGTCAAAAACTGATTGCTTTCGTAGGCATATTTATTTAAACATCTAGATAAAATTTGATAATTATATGAAAATTATCTATGATCATCAGTCTTTTTTTTATGATTAGAAAAGTTATTACTTTTAAGTAAACTAAACATTATCATAGACTTTTTTTTTCATATGTTACTTGTTCTATTTATATTCTCAAAAAAAGGAAACTTATTCATAGTGATATATATTTTGAAATATTCTATACAAAGTAAATTTTCCCAAAAACTTACCTAAAGTTGTTTTATTGACGAAAATTGATTTTACAGTCAAATATATTTGTTGAAAAGTATTGATAATACTAATCTATTTTGTTATTTTATATGACTGAATTAGAATAAATACGCATAAGATCAAAATACTTTCGAAAGTGTGATTGCGTAGTCTATGTCGTCTGCTGATTGACCATCAAATAACAACAACTGACCATTTTTCTC